CACAGGAAAACTCGGTCAGACGGACTCAGGCTTACGGAATCCAGGCGCAGGATTGGACCTGGTGGGCAACTCAGCGAGCGACCACGGGGAAACAGCAAGGGAGCAGGGCTGCGGGTTGACTGTGGTCACGCATTCGTGCATGGATAGACAAGCGAGGGAGTGGGCGATTAGACAGCGGCAAGCGGCAGCAGAGCGCACCACCATTTTCCTGCTCTGACCCCGCCTCCACATACAGTGTCATAACCCAGCAACCTAAGTGGCCCTGCCCTGGTGAACCACTTAAGGCTCTACTCCTCACCCAGCTGCGCAAAACAACAGAGGGGGCCGCCATTTCCCCGCTCTCACCATGCCCCCACATACAGCATCACAACCCAGTGACCTGGGAATCCAAGGCTCTGCTCCTCACACTTAACGGGTGTGAACAGACCAAAAATGGCTCAAGAAGATCTCAAAGCCCCACAGCCTATAAATCTAAGCCATGAAGAAATAGCAAAACTCTCAGACGCAGTTTAAAACACTGGTGATCATGATCAGGATCCTCACAGAACTGGTTGATTATAGCCACAGATTAGACAAATATATGAAGGCGAAACTAATTGAAATGAATGGAATTGCACAGGACACCAATAGCAATGAAAAGGAAACTGGGACTCAAATCAATGGAGTGGACCAGAAGAAAGCAAATAATGGCCAAACAGAAAAGAGTGAAGAAGCAAGAATTCAAAAAAATGAGGAGAGTCTTAGGATCCTCCAGGACATTTTTAAACGCTCCAACATCCGAATTATAGGGGTACCAGAAGGGGGAAAGGCACAGCCACGAGTGGAAAACTTATTTGAACAAATAATAAAGGAGAATTTCCCCAATCTGGCATAGAAAATAGACTTCCAGGAAATCCAGGAAGCTCAGAGAGTCCCAAAGAAGTTGGACCCAAGAAGGAACACACCAAGGCACATCATCATTACATTAGCCAAGATTAAAATGAAGGAGAGAATCCTAGAAGCAGCAAGAGATAAGGGGACAGTCACCTACAAAGGAGTCCCCATCAGACTGTCAGCAGATTTCTCAAAAGAGACCTTACAGGCAAGAAGGGGCTGGAAAGAGGTATTCCAAGTCATGAAATCTAAAGACCTACAACCAAGATTGCTCTATCCAGCAAAACTTTCATTGAGAATGGAAGGACAGATAAAGTGCTTCTCAGATAAGATCAAATTCAAGGAGTTCATCATCACCAAGCCCTTATTATATGAAATGTTAAAGGGACTTATCTAAGAAAAAGAAGTTAAAGAAACATGAACAGTGAAAGGACAACAAACTCACAGTTATTAAGAACCACACCTAAAACGAAAGCAAACTAAAAGGACAGCTAGATCAGGAGTGGAAACATAGAAATGAAGATCTCAAGGAGGGTTAGCAACAGGGGAGTGGGAGGAGGAGAAGGGGGGAGAAGGTACAGAAAATAGGTAGCATAAACAGTAGATAGATAATAGACGGGGGGCAAGAATAGTATGGGAAATATAGAATCTAAAGAACTTGAGACACATGGTCATAAACTAAAGGGGGGGTAATGGTGGGGATGGAGGGGCAGGGTGGAGGGGAATGAGGGGGGGGATAGAACAACTGTAATTGCATAATCAATGAAAAAATAAATTTTAAAAAAGAAGTGTGAGAAGGAATGAATGAGCATGTGGAGGAGAGTGAATGAGTGAGTCTTGTTTAAAATTCTTGTTGCAAGTGACAGATATAATCTTGAGCTACTGTAAGAAAGAGAAAAGGGACAAAGAGAAGGCTGAGGGCTGCAAGGTGTTTCACAGAGCTTAGGGCAGGAGGCAGCCAGGATGCAGGAGGGACAGTAACAGGGACTGGAAAGTGGCCAGGACTGAATCCCTCATTCTTCCACTCTCTACTTGCATGCTTTCATTTCTTACCTTGTATTTACTGGGGTCCATCCAGCAATTTTTTAGAAGCTGGCAATATGATCACAAATAAACAGATAATAATCCCTGTCCTCACGGAGCTGTGGTCACATGGAGGAAAGAGTACTTGTACCCTTACCAGTTGGCACCATTCTACCACATGTCATGTCTGATGGATACTGGGAATCCTATTTGAGGACCTGATTGTAATATGGCCAAGGTGTTCATCTGCTACAATCAACTGTGGCTGGGGTTGAGTAAGACACCACCAAGCAGGTGGTGGGCCCTGGGAGAGGGTCACTCAAGGGACCACCCTTTTTAGCAAAAGAAATCTCAGAGCAGATGGGCTGGAAAGACATCCAAAAAGGTTTCCTATACTGGATGAGCAAATACACACAAGAGTAGATGGTTTCACAAACCCATTTATTTGATAACTATGCATTGAGCACTTACTTTGGGTCCATTGACATCCTGGTTGCTAAAGATTCAGCAATGAACACCAAAAGTCCTTGTTATCGTGCAGCTTATGTTTGAGTAGGGGTGCAGGTGGACAGATAAACTCACCATGACCTAAGTATCCTGCTTGAAGTACTTAAAGAGAATGCTTTATGTTCCCAGATCATGTGCATTATTGGGGCTGCCCTTCTCCTTTGAACCAAGGTGGGGACTGACTAGTGGGAGCCTCTTACCACCCCAGCTATGCTACCTGGTGCTCAAGGTTCCCTCCTACTGGCCCAGCAGGGGCCTGGGAGACCTTGTTTCAGCCCAGTAGCATGCCTTTTATTCAGACTGTTCGGTGCCCAAGCTTGTCAGCTTCTTAAAAATTCTGCTCCTGGGCACTGTTTAAGTTCTCTTGGGGACCCAAGGGAGCTTAACTGTGTTCTGCATTTCCATTCCTCTCTCTAGGCCATTTTGGGCACTTACTGGTCTGTCAACCCTCAGGTCAACCAGTTGGGACTGCCATCTGTCCCTGAGCATGTGTGGCCACAGCCAGTAGAGACTCTTGTAGAAGAGATGGTACCCACGGTAGCAGGGGTCACAGCCCTGTAGGCAAATACCCAGTGCTCACCTGGCCCCCAGGCTTTGGCCAAAGAGAGTAATTGAACAGGTAATAATGTGGCCACACAAGCAATCATCAGATGTGAACTCTGCTGGCGTGGCAGATACTTCTGTTTTGGAGGGAGGAAAAGGAAGGAAATGGGCAAGTTTGGTTTTTTTGACTTCCGAAGACATTACTTCCCCTTTCCATAGTCCTGCTGAATTCCATCTTTACTGAATACAGTGAGTTTGTACCTTCCACATGGTTGTCCTCCATAGGCACTAAAATTATTTGAAATTCATACAATTTTGAGTGAGTGTAATGGTGGTTCTTGGTCTGTACTAGGCATTATTCTAATACAATAATAACACACTTGAGTGCTATAATTATCATCTTTCTTAACTTACAGATGAGCAAATTGAGTCATAGAGAAGGCATTTAAAATATATGGCAGAACTGGAATATGACTCTAGGTAGTTGGCAACAGAGCACATATACTTATGCCTACCTTGTCACTTATCATCTTGTCTGAAGGATTAGTTTCAATGTGGATGCTACATGTGATATTCAATTCCCAACTTAGCCAGTAACAGAGGTATTGAATATGTGAAAATCCCAGGCGGTATTATAAAAGCAAGGAAAATTTGGCTCCAGAACTTAAGAGATGATTCACACCATGAGTAATATTAGTTATTATTGATATTACAAATATTAGTTATATATAAAAGTGAGTATATATATGTGTTTGTGTTTGCATATATATATATATGTATGTATATATAGGTACACTCAGTGAGTCAACACATCATCTAAGGCCATCAGTGTAATGGAAAAGTCCTTCATGGACATTAAAACACTAATTGTTCAGTTACAGTTGTCCCCATTTTTCCTCCTGTTGCTAAACCCTGCCCCACCCCACCGTCCCCACCCCACTGTTCCACTGGAGGACTTTTTAGTGGTTCCTTCTGTCAACTTCTAGCTAAGAAATGTGACAAACACATCAATAAAAGTCACAATTTTTCCACATCAACAAATAGTCTGGAAGTCATAGTGCCACAGTTTGCATGAACATACTGGGCCTTTCTGTCTCTCTGTGGTTGACCTTAACAGTTCTCATTTTGATTCCACTCTACTGATAATTGCTTGGCCTCTACCTCTGAAAAGAGAAGCCTCAGGTTTCTGCAGCACCCCACCTCCTCAGGCTTTTTCAATCCACAGACCCACCCTTGGTGAGTCTCTCTCTGTGGCCTGCTCACCTTGCTCTGCACCCTTCCCCCACGAACCAGTGCTAACAGAGCTGGCTGGGTAGCACTGTCTGTCACCCAGCCTGCAAGCTGTTCCTTTCTCTGTTAGTCTGCACACCTGAGTCAAGCATCCCTGTATGTCAGGCACTGTGCTGTGTCTGAAGGTTCAGAAAAGGGGATGGTACCCTCTAAAGAGCTCACAGGACAGGGGTTTGGGGAATGAGAGCTGGGAGGGAAAGAAATTCTTTTTACTGGTGCAACTCAAATGCCAGTACTCCTTATCTGGGACTGTCCTAGAAGCCTTCCTGCTCATATGTGCCAGTAACTTGTCAGGGTTTTAGCACTGCCATCACCAGTCTGAAAAAAGAGTAAAGTGGTCAGCAGAAAACAGCCATTAATAGTTTCTTTTGGGGTTAGTATTTTTTTCTGTTTTCTCCAAACTGCCTGCCTACTTGCCTGGGAAGTTTTCTCCAGACTTGTGCCAATCCACCGTTCAGTTGTGATGCAAGGTGCATGTGCTGGTGCAAAGAGCACTGACCTTTGACACAGGAGGTTCAGCCCCAGGTGTGGCCAACCACATATGGAGTCAGCAACTGATACTAGCTGAGCCTCAGTTTCTCTGTATGTAAGTGGGATAATAATCTTTTTCCTTAAAAGGGAACAGGAAAACTCATTCATTCATTAATTCACTCACTCACTCATCAAGTATTCCTTGAGTGCACAATCTAGTAGGTAAAGTCAGAAAATACTTAGTACAATAAAATATGATAAGGCCTTTACTGGTGGAATGAATGGTGGGCTAGGTCTACCCAGAGGAGAAAACTAAAGGAAGAGCATGGGGTCTTCATGGATGAATAGGAGTTCATCAGGTGGAGAGTGCCAAGGTGGGAGTTAGGCACTGAAAACGTCATGGAGATAATCTATACAAGAGAAAGACATAAAGCAAGGTTAATCTCTTTCTCTCACTGTTTTCACAATTCTCTTCCCCAACATCAAATCTAAGGCCCATAATTTGGGTACAAAAACAAAATGTATTTGGAAAAATTTCATTGGCAAACAACCTTCCAACGGGTCCCTTCTCCTCTTGACCTGCTCCTTCACTTGTCCACACTCTTACTCACAACACCCTCTTTCCCTGCCCTACCTCATCACAGGTGACTCCTTACACAACACAAGTTGTTTACTTTCTCCCTTAAATCCTGGGCTCCTGTCTAGACCCAAGGGCCAGAGTATATAATCTTTTACACCCATTTCTCCCAACCTCCCCCCAGTTCTGTGGTTATTTTCCACCCCTCTGACTCTAACCCCGGGGACCCTTGGACCCTGACTCTCCCTTACTTGACTCAGCACCAGCTTTTCATCATCAGCATGAGGGACAATAGTGGACTTTGGAGTCAGAAAGCTTGGTTTTAAATCTCTAACTTTTTCTCCTCTCTCAGTCCTCTGTTTTTTCTATATAGTTGGGTTTATAACACTTGATGATAGCTAACATTTAATGAATACAATGTGTTCTACTCACTGAGAAAAAAATTATTTTTATCTCACAACAATTCTAGAAAACTGATTTTTAAAAATTCCAGGGGAATGGACATTGCTCTAGACATGGAGATGGGAGGAGAGCAGAACCTGTTTCTACTATGGCCCTGCTTTCCCTGGGCAATGGCCAAATTAATGTGGATTCATGCTGCTGAGTGGGTACTTCCTGTCCCATCTACTTTTGTGAATCTATTAATGAAATACCTGCAACAACAAAAAAAAACTGTTTTGAAAGAAAAGTTTTATTGAGCTAACTAGAGAAACGATCAGGTCCTGGGACATGAGTCTAAACCACCAGCGTCAGTGTTGGGTGGAGAATGCAACATGTTTGCTTTTGGAGTTCATGGGGTTTTTTACACATCAAGTAGTGGGGAGAAAGTTGTGAGTTGTTTTGAAAAGATTTACATTGGATACAGATGAAGATAAAGGTGGTGCAAGAAGGTGAAACAGAACTAGTTCTGGGATAGTGCACACGTCATAAAGGAGAAATGTTCGTTCCTCTAGATAGTGTGGGCAGCAGTATGAAAAGTTCATAATTAAGCAAAGCAGAGGTTCCCTGAAGTTGGTGGCACCTAGCTCTTCTCCTTAGTGAATTGAGGAAATCACCACTTAAAAGTTAAGGCAAAGTTTGAATATACATTCAGGAACATAAAGTCTTTGCTAGTTTTGCATTGCAAGTAACAGATAAACCTCTCTTGTCTCATCGTTTCACACTCTGGCCTGTTGTAATTAATTTAGGACATCTCAGAAATTCCTCTTTTTCAGTAGAGACCGTACGACTTTGAGACCGAAGGGAATTACAGGAAACTGAAGGGGACCAAACAAGGCAGGCATCCCCCAGGAGGCATCTGTGGTCCAGACCATGAGCTGCCATCCCTTCCTGAGATTGTCAGCTGGCAATTTGTCTCAAGTGACCTCTCACCTGCCTCCCATCTCCAAGTCTTTCTGTCCTAATAGTCACTGTGGGCTCAGGAAGGCAGACTCAGTGTCCCAGCAGCAGAACACCCATAAGACTAAGATGGTCAACCAGCCAGAAATATGGAGTCTATCTCAGTGCCAGGTAAAACACAGAAGCCTGTGGTCTTCCTACGATTTTTGGGAACTTAGTCATCTCATGATCCAGGATAAGCAACAATTAGAGGTGCCAAACTTAAGACAAGGTAGACAGGAAATTGTCTTTCAAATTTGGGGAAATTTATGTAACAGATCATCCCAATTTAGTTGAAAGAGAAAGGAAGGAAGGAAGGAAGGAAGGAAGGAAGGAAGGAAGGAAGGAAGGAAGGAAGGAAGGAAGGAAGGAAGGAAGGAAGGAAGGAAGAAAAGAAAGGATAATGAGTAGCCGAGGAACTTATGCTGGACCCATGGACATGAACAATGGTGTGGGAATTGCCTGAGGGAAAGAGGTGTGCTTGGTTGAGGGGGCCCAGGAGGAAAAAATTGGGACAACTATAATAGCATAATCAATAAAATATAATTTAAAAAAAGAAAACACTCAGAAGTGGTATTTCTGGGCTCTTCTTTGTCTCTTGCTAAGACTGTTTTAATGTCTATTTTCCCTGGTATAATCTTTGTTACCCAGCTTTTATTTCATTTCCATTTTTATGAAATATTTTCTCCATCCCTTTATTTTCAGTCTGCTTTCAGATCTTTTGATCTGAAGTAAGTATCTTGCAGACACCATATATGTAAAGGTCTTGTTTTGTTATCACTTTTGCCATGGTATGTCTTTTGATTAGAGCACTTAATCTATTTTCATTTCTAGTAATTGTTGATAGATATATAATTATTGCCATCTTATTATTTATATTTTTAATCTTTTCTCCTTCTTCTTAAAAAAGAACTTTTTTGTATTGCATTGATTCATTCTTTATTTTATTATTATTAAATATCTTTCAATTTTATTGTTGTTCTTAAAGAACTTTTAACATTACTTGCAATACTGATTTGGTGGTGAGGAATTCCTTTAGCTTTTTCTTGTCTGTGAAACTCTTTGCCCTTGGATTGTAAATAATACCATTGCTGTGTTATCTTGGTTGTGTAACCTTGCTTTTAATTATATTTAATATTTCATGCCAATCCTTTCTTCCTGCAAAGTTTCTGCTAAAAAATCAGCTCACAGTCTTATGGGAGCTCTCTCATAGAAGACTAACTGCTTTTCTCTTTCTGCTTTTAAGATTCTCTTTAACCTTTGGCATTTTAATTATGATGTGTCTTGCTATGGGCCTGTTTGGGTTAATCTTTTTTGGATTCTCTGCACTTCCTGGACTTGTATATCTATTTCCTTCACCAGAATAGGGAAGATTCCCATCATTATGATTTCAAATAGGTTTTCATTGCTTTGCTCTCTCTATCCTTTTTCTAGCACCCCATGAGGGGAATGATAGTATGCTTGAAGTTTTCCCATAGACTCCCTAAACTATGCTCATTTTTTGTATTCTTTTTTCTTTTTGCTGTTTGGATTGGGTATTTTCTGATATATTATCTTCCAAATTGTGGATCTGTTCCTCTGCTTTGTATACTCGAATATTCATTCCCTGTCATGTACTCTTCCTTTCAGTACATGACAGGGAATGAACAGTACATTTCAGTACATTACAGTGCTTCTCTTGGTAGCACTGAAAGCATGGGCTGGGGGCCTGGTGTGGAGCTGGGGCCCTTTGTTCCTCATGGAGGGCCTCCTCAGCCAAGATATCCCTTCCCACTTTTAACCACCATAGGTGGGTAAGGAACCAGCTCATTCTGCATCTCTGGTCCTCATACCAGTTTGCATGTGCTATCTTATGTATATCTTGAGTCACAAGACTGCTGTTCAGCTAGAATTTAGGCAGTTCTGAATGATGGTTCTTCTGTAGTTTAGCTGTAATTTTGATGTGGTTATGGAAGGATGCAAGTACCATTTTACCTACTTGGCCATTTTGACTGGAAGCCCCCCAGGTATGGATTTTTTTTTTGAAGTTGCAAGAGTCTAAAAGTCCATTGGCCCCCAAAGGAAGTTGGTTTGCCTAAAATAAAAAGCAAATTAAAATATTTTATTTAGTCTTGTTATCTAACTCATTTCTGCACATTTGAAAATCCTTTCTGTCAAAAAGATTTTAACTATGTTTTGTGGTTCTTTAGCAGCACATAAAATAATTTCAAGCTTTCAGCTTCATTCTCAGGGAACAGGCACCTTGCTATTTTCTGAAAGGTAGGCTGGTTCTTCCAGAGCTTTGGGAAATGTGGGGATTAAGGCATTTAAGGAAAGACTTTGGACCATGGTTAATCATTTACTTAATATGCACTCAGTGGGAAATATGTGGTAGATACTAAGCTGCATGAGAGTGTCTCTAGCTCTTTGCATATATGCTTATTAATGGAATATAGTTGTTTATATACATATGATTTGTTTAAGGCATCTTTGTTTGTGACTGAATGGGTGAATGACATACTCCTCACTTCACTTCCCTGAGTGGAGTGCTTGTTTCTCTGATAATTACAGTATTGAGAAACGTGTGCACTCGCTGCTTCAGCATAGTGCTCAGTGTTATGCATTTGTAACCTTATTTAATTTTCATAATAGCTGAGGGCAGTAGGTGCTATTGTCATTTCCATTTATTGGAATTGGGAGAACTGAGTCTTAGAGAAGTTGCCACTTTCTCAAATACCACAAGTTCAGGAGTTATGTTTCATTCACAAAGGCAGCACATTGCAGGAAACTAGTCAGAGGTTTGATTTGCAAGTAGATCCAAAACACAGCAGGATAATTTTTGCAGACATTAATACACATTTGCCTTTCCTGCTCTGATATATTTGCTCAATATTTCTTGTCTTGGGAAGATTTAATACAGAGCAGGAACTTAAAGGCTGTTCTCCTAGTTGATAAGCATATCCAGATTCATATATTCCCAACTCATAGCAGATTTTTAGGCAATATTGTTTTAAACATAATTTTTGTTATGTAGTTGACAGAGAGATTACTTGACAATTGTAATATTACAAAAGCTAAACTACAGATGCTGACATACTTGCATTTCTTCCTCCAACCCAGTTATTTCAAGTGGATGAAAATCTATTGTAAAATATATAAAACTGGCAATAAAATCAAGTGACACATCAGAACTATTATCAATACACTTAATTATTTGAAAAAATAAATAAAACTGAAATTGAACAATTAATGCTTCTGCAAATCTACTGAGATCATCATTATAAATACAATCAACATACATGCAAGTTTTGCAAAACAACTTCTTCAACTAATTTTTATTTTAATAATCTTCCTTTTGTTGCTATAGTAGAATTCTTTCTGCATAGTAAGTATTAGAATTTTTTAAGTAACTGTTGGGAACTGCCCTGCCTGGTTTCAGGAGCTGTAACCACACCCATGGCTAAGGCTGAGTGAATGACCTTCAGACCATAAGCAACTAAGGAGACAAAGCTTATTTCCCTGGCAGGAGTGCTGCCTCTGCTCCTCTTACTTCACCCTGCCTGGCCCCCAATGCTTGATCAGTTAGCCAATGATGGGTAAGATGCCTCAAGGGAGAAATGACCTAAGACAAGAAAGGACTTGGGAGCTACAGGGGTGATGGACCCTCGCCCCTTGGCTTTGACATAGCCTGAGTCTTCATTCTGTCTGGAAGAAGTCTCCTAATCTCTTGATTGCCTTACTTCCCCTACCTGACTTAAGCTGGAAACAATGCTAGTGGTGGGTGCAGCCCTTTGCTGGAAAGGGCAGGTCCCCTAGGGCGATCAGGCCTAAGAAAGAATATGTAAAATCCTGTGAAACCTGCTTTGTTTAGAATGCTCTCAATTAAATAAGGGTCCACGAAGGAAGTGAATTTGTTCCTCAAAGTTTTATGGCTCTTTAGCTATCCCACCCTGTCTCAAAATAGGCCCTCAGAGTTCTTTGAATGTTATCTATTGTTTAATCATTTCTGCCTGACAATGATAGATGAGCCTTATGGAACCACCCTGTATTCCTATGCAAATTGGATCCAATAAAAGCCTGTGAAGGCAAGGGTTGGGGTGCTCTCCTCTTGAGAGAGAAGTCAACCCATCTCTTTTCCTCCACAGGACTCAGTAGTCTGTGTGAATTTATTTTGTCTCATTCATATTGCTGTGGACACCACAGGCCGGTGTCCACATCAAGTAACACAACTGTGATTAATAGAGATAGTGCCATTAACCATGAAAGTTCAAGCAACTGGAAAAAAAATGAAATTATTTGTAATTTGACTAATGTCAAATTATAGAGGAATATTTTAAGTTTATTAAACATTTTTTAATGTGCTTGCAAATACAAAGCATTTCCTTTACTTTGTTCTTTGTCGAGTTTTACCTTAGGTTTTAAGGTTTCATGTTTGTTTACATAGGGCTTGGGTTTATCAAAATGGATAACATTTTGTTAATAAAGCTATGTGATATTTACATTTAGAAAAATAAGTTTTTTTGTTGCCCACAGAGAAGTTTGGGTTCTGTTTTACAAAAATGTTGGAACCTGGGCATATATTTCTAATGTTGTGTAGAGACCAGAATTCATTTTAGCCGGAGTAGAAAACTCTGCTCTAAGCTTCATAAAGTTTGAGTAATTTAAAGAAATATGAATATTGGTCATGTGGAAAACAGAAATAGATTATCTAAATTTGGTAATACTGAACATTTCAAAATGTGTAATTCAGGTGATTGTCCTTTTGTATTGTTTGCTAAGATAAGATGTTAATATATAGTCAATAATGAATGTAAATAAATATAATGAAATTTTGGTAAATTTATGACTCACTTGTGTCCCTGTGAAATTAGAAGGACTGGCAGGTGAGGGAACTTATGATACTGTGGAGGCACCATGAGATACGGAGGACAGACCTAGGCCAAGTTACTCTCAGCTTTCTTAGGCTTCCATTTGTTTATCTATAATGTGGGTCTGGTAGTGCCCACCTGGGGAGAATGGAATATATATAAATATTCGGTATCATTTTGATGTTGTTGTTATTATTATTCCAAATGAGAGTCTAGCCCAGGAGAGGCTATTACATCTAATAGCTATGTTACTTATTGATGCTCGGGTAAAACTATCATTTTTAGAATTGCACCCAATTCAAACAAATATAATGGGTCACTGAAGGCATTTGTTTATTATTGACAATTTACTGTTCTTAGTATTATACAAATTGAGGAATAGAGAGTACAGAAATAAAATGAAGTCACTGTATAGTCAACCTACTAAATTACTAAAATCAAGTAGGTTAAGGCATGAGGAAATATTTCTACTCATGCTTTGGTTTGCCTAGGAACTTAGAACTTTGAACTTTATACATCTTTGTCTATGTCTATATTATCCAAATCTCCTACAGATAACCCTATGATTTCCCTCTGAAGGACTAAGAAGAGAATGTTCATATCTCCAGATCATCTGACATACATTATCCACACCATTGGACATCTGAAAGATAATCATCTCAGATCATCCAGAGGCTAAGAATACAGGACAGATTCTTCCCCAAAATGTACTTTTTACTATAAGAACTCTCAACTTTTCTTTCTTCTTTGGAACACTCTGGGTGTTGCCTAGTTGCAATTTTGGCTTGTAAACCCTGTGACCCCTGAATTAATCTTTGTCATTTATTTCTAGCCAAAGCCTCCTGATTCATTTATGCATCCATCAACAAAGTGTATCCTTGATCAGATGACTTCAATGTACTTTTTATATTTATTTTTATAATATTTATTGATTATGCTATTATAGTTTTCACAATTTCCCCTTTTGCCTCCCTCCACCCAGCATGCCCTCTACTCCCTCAGGCAATTCCAATATTATTATCCATGACCATGGGCCATGCATATATGTTTTATGGCTACTCATTTCCTATGCACTACTATACATCCCCATGACTATGCTGTAACTCCCAATTTGTATTTGTTAATTCCATCACCTTTTTCACTCTTCTATCCAGCTATCATCAAAACATTTTCTGTATCTATGATTATGTTCCTGTTCTGTTTTTTTGTTTTGTTTTAGATTCAATTGTTGATAGATATGTAATTATTGCCATTTTACTGTTCATATACTTGATCATCTTCTTTTTAAAGAAGACCCTTTAACATTTCATACACTACTGGTTTGGTGACGATGAACTCCTTCAGCTTTTTCTTGTCAGGAAGCTCTTTATCTGTTTTTCTATTCTAAATGACACCTTTGCTGGGTAGAGAAATCTTGGTTGTAGGTTTTTGCTTTAGCTCACTTTGAATATTTCCTGCCAATCCCTTCTAGCCTGCAAAGTTTCTTTTAAAAAATCAGGTGACAGTCTTATGGGAGCTCCCTCATAGGTAAAGAACTACTTTTCTCCTGAAGCTTTTAATATTCTCACTTTGTCTTTAACCTTTGGCATTTAATTATGATGTGTCTTAGGGTTGGCCTCTTTGGGTTCTTCTTTTTTGGGACCCTCTGTGTTTCCTAGACTATATGTCTATTTCCTTCACCAAGTTACAGAAGTTTTCTGTTATATTTAAAAGTAGGTTTCTAATTTCTTGCTCTCTTTCCTCTTTCCAGAATCACCATGATGTTAATGTTGTTATACTTGAAGTTGTCTCAGAGGCTTCTTTCACTGACATCATTTTTTAAATTATTTTTTCTTCTTGCTGTTCTGATTGGTTGCCTTTGCTTCCATATATTCCAAATCACTGATTTGTTTCTTGGCTTCATGCACTCTATTGTTGATCCTCTGTAAAATGTTCTTTATTTTAATTAGTATACCCTCATTTCTGACTGAATTTTTTTATGCTGTTGAGGTCCTCACCAAGTTCCTTGAGCAACCTTACGACCAGTATTTTGTACTCTGCATCTGTAATCTACTAAGATTTCTTGTCTCAATTTTGTTTAGTACTTCTTCTGGAGTTTTGTTCTATTTTTTCATTTGGGCCAAGTTTCTTTGCCTCACTTTGGCAGCCTCCCTGTGTTTGTTTCTATGTATCAGATAGAACTGCTATCTATGTCTGACAGGCTTGGTAGAATGACCTTCTAGTAGTT